ATATTTATTATCTGATTAAAAACCTTCTTTTTGTTTCTCTGTTGAGTTGCAAGGTGAAAAGTGATGGTAATTTGCCAAAACTCTCTGTTGTGTGGTTCAGGTCAAGAAGGAGGTGGGTGAGAATGCCCCGGCGCTCAGTGATGACGAGCTGGTGGCCATGTCGGTGCGGGAGCTCAACCAGCACCTGCGCGGGCTGACAAAGGATGACATGGTCCGGCTGAAGCAGCGGCGGCGCACACTAAAGAACCGCGGTTATGCTGCCAGCTGCCGCATCAAGCGCGTCACTCAGAAAGAGGAGCTTGAACGGCAAAAAACAGAGCTGCAACAAGAAGTGGACAAACTGGCTCGTGAAAACGCCAGCATGCGACTGGAGCTGGATGCGCTTCGAGCTAAGTACGAGGCCCTGCAGTGCTTTGCCCGGACTGTCACGCGCGGGCCTCCCGGTAAGGTGGCCACCACCAGCGTCATCACTATTGTCAAGTCTGCCCATCACAGCGCCAGCTCTGCCCCGTTTTCGGCGCCCTCGTAGTGCTGATTGGCAGCGCCTGCCCAGCTCCTTCTGGTCCAATCCGGCTCTGAACCTAGACTGACCCGCGGGCCTCTGCTCGACCCAAACTGAGAGGAAGCTCAGTGGTCAGACTGAGGGGAGGGTGGAGGCCTTAACCTGCGTGACTACAACAGGCTGCATCTATTTTTTTCACTTCTCTCTCTTTTACACACTCACAAAACACACATACATACAAAAACACATCTATATGGTCTGTGCACTGTGCTATAACCTCCGGCACCGGCAGGGCACATTGACCGCTATTTCAACTTCACCACAGGCTGAGACTTAGCAGAGATGGGCACTTGTTAAAGTGTGAGATAGTACTTGACTTAACCATGGCAGCACTGGTTCAACAGCTATGATGCCCGTGACTTATTGCATATGCACCAGAAACGAAAATGAATAATGTATCATTATAGGAAGTAAATATTTATTCATATTAATATTGTAAACATATACTACCATTCAAAAGTTTGGGGACAGTACATTTTTCTTAAAAAAAAAACAAAAAACTTTTTCTTCAAGGACACATTAAATTGTGACCCTGGACCTAAAAACCAGTCATAAGGGTCCTTTTTTTTTTTTTTAAATTGACATTTACAGATAATCTGAAAGTTGAATAAATAAGCTTTCCGTTTGTGTATGGTTTGTATAGGAAAATATTTGGCTGAGATACAACTATTTGAAAATCTGGGGGAAAAAATCTAAATATTGACAAAATCGCCTTTAAAAGTTGTCCAAATGAAGTTCTTAGCAATGCATATTACTAATCAAAAATTAAGTTTTGATATATTTATGCTAGGAAATTTACAAAATATCTTCATGGAACATGATCTTTACTTAATATCCTAATGATTTTTGGCATAAAAGAAAAATCTATAATTTTCACCAATACAATGTATTGTTGGTTGTTGCTACAAATATACCCGTGCAACTTATGACTGATTTTGTGCTCCAGGGTCACAATTGATCATACGTAACAGGAAAGACAGTATTCATCAAAAGAATCCTGAAATTCCTGGTTTCCACAAAAATATGAATCCGCACAACTGTTTTCAACATTGATGATTGTAAGAAATGTTTCTTGAGCAGCAAATTAGAATGATTTCTGAAGGATCATGTGACACGGAACATTCTGAAAATTCAGCTTTGCATCACAGGAACCATAAAGTAAAAAATATTTTCAATTGTAATAATATTCCACTATGTGAATTTTATTTTTTTTTTTAATGTATTTTTGATCAAATAGATGTAGCCTTGCTGAAGCGAAAGCATAGAATTCTTACCGACCCCAAACTTTTGAACAGGAACAGTTTTTTGACAGTTTATGGGATGCTGTCTTGCATCATGAAATACATTGGCATAAACTCATAATACATTACTACCAATCATTGTGAAAGACCAGCGATTCTGATCCTGGTCAAAAATCAGATGACCAACACAGTCCAAAGTTGAGAATGATGTTATCGACATCAAGGGCAAATCCTTATCCTGAAGCGTTACATTACTGATAAACAATGCATATTATCCAATGGGAAATGAGCCAATCCTCTCTTAGTCAGCAGTTTAAACATAGGAATCCCAAATGGGAAAATGACACTTATTTTAACTGTTGAATTACAGTATAATACTATGAAGCACCTGCATAGCAGACTGACGTATGTGAATATTCAAGACTGAAATTACAGAGTAACTGAGTTTCTAGGAAAGCGCACTTCATGGAGGCTTTTTTATTGTTGCATTTGTTTTATGAGAGGTTAGTTAGTATAAAGTGAATTATCCTCAAAGTGTAACGTGTTGATGATAACATCCAAGCGGCACATCTGTGTTGTCAGTTATATATACACCGTTTTTCCTGATCTGTCTCTATACGACACCATAAAAAGGTAGGTAATCCATATTGGATATTGAGATAACAGGAGCTGTCTTGGCAAAAAAAAAAATGCAGTTCAGTTATAACCTGTATATTACAGAACTGAGTTAACAGCCTTGAGCTTAAAAAAAATAATGTCAAAGTTAAGCTCCCAACTTCGTATAGAAAATTCCGTCCGCTCAGAAAGCATTCCTACTGCTAAGTCACAAAAGGTGCCACTGCCGGTGTTGGTAACCCTGATTAAAATGTACATAAAATGCAAATATTTGATATTTCGACACAGACACTTTGGGTAAGGAGAATCCTGGTGTCCTGAAACTAGCTCAAACATTCATCCCTAAAACATTAACACACCGTCTGTATTTGGTTAAACGAATCTGTCATTAAACTGAAGATGGCTGAAATCAGGATTGTCTCTTACCTAAGTGGCTATGACTGTTCGTGTGAGCCCTTCCACCACTGCGGGAAGCATTAGAGGGGTGTTGTGCTGCTGGGAAGCCCACTGTTTGCCCCAAATCTCTGGGGTCCTGTTGTGCTCTTAGCATTTTTATATCTCCACAAGTGTTTCATATGTTGCTTTATCCCCAAACATAATCTAGATCTGATGTTTCTCATTTGTTTCTATATGTGTCCAGGACATGAAATACCTTCAGAGTGGTGTGATTGTTGTACTTCTTTTTTTAATTCCAGTGGTTTATTTAACTGGTTTTAGTTCAGATGTCCAATAGAAGAAAGTCCCACTCTCAATTCCTATATGTCAGTACATAAACTCAACACACTATTAGTTTTATGCTGAATGGTAGTGTTCAGATGATATTGTGGATCTTTATTTTAAGAGTGCCGATTTTAAGAACACGTCATTTCAGTATTCATCATTTATTTGCCATTGTTTTTGGTCCTACAGTCAGCATTTCAAACCTTTGTTTGTGAAAGCGTCCTGTGCAGTTCTTTTAAATGTGACCACAGCTCTGGTTGGCAGATCCTCTTTTCTGGACATATGGGTTTTTAAATGGCTGTCTATGCTTTCCCTTTAGGCCACAAAAGCCTTTTAGAGGGGAAAAAACCCAGGAATTTTCCATTCGTCATGTTGTGGCCAATTTGTGTTGTTCCTCTAAGACTTAATACATTACATAATATTAGAATTTATCAGAATTTACTTCCCTTGGTAGGAAGTGCAATGTGTCACTTCTTTATGGAATTACAGTGACAAGAGTATACCAATTTTTTTTTTTTTTTTTTTAAGAGAAATTGACAAAATGGCTCTTTCTGTGCATTACACTGACATCTGGTGGTGATTTGTTCTTTTCTGTTTTTCAAAATGCTGTGATCGAATGCTGGTGACACCAAGAGCTATCATTTCTTGGACTATTGAGGCATTGCTGCTTTGCTTTATTGTTCATTTCAGCTGCCACCAAAGCCATAACCAATCTGTGTGCTTTCTTTAAAGTTCACTTCGTTTCTATTCTTTTACTAATATTTTTATTGTGAGTTATAATAATACTACACCCTTTAGTAACTAGATCGTAATGCCCTAATTCAGACTAATAAGAGCCGGACATGCCATCACAGAACTATTCTGTAATTTTACAGGGATGCCAGTGTTTTTGGCCAGTTTGTTGTAGTTATTTATGTAGATTCAATTAGATTAAAAACAAGATCAGTACTGACAGAGGCATAACAGGTCAACTTGTGACTGAGGCCTGTAGACATTTCCCTATTTTGAAGCAGTTTTGTGCAGTAAACGTTCCTCCTAACACAGTTAGATGATGAAAATGGTCTTTAAACTAAGTGGGTACTTTTTCTGTCTCTTTTTAAAATTCTATGTATGCTGTATGTGGCCTTTTGGGCTGAATAGGATAAATTATTCTATATTTTACATATGAATTTATTTTTCAAAGTATATATGTGCTCAGTCAGTCCTTAAAAGCTATTTACGCCATACCATGAACGCACATAGGAATTTTAACCAATGCTCTTTAAAACAAACTTGCCTATAAAAATCTTAGAGAAACTCCATGACATATAAAGTATGCTGCTCCAAATTATTACTTTATATTTGTCAATGTTAAGATGAAACTGTAAGGTATTGGGGGAAGTAGTCATGTTACTTGTAGTTAAAATAGTGCCTTTAACATTGAGCTTGTCATCATTTAAGTACTGTATGAATGGGCGTGGTTGTTTGTAAAATCTTATTTCCATGTGCAACCACAGATTTGCCTGTATGATAGGTCTAGTAGGCGTAATTGTGCTATATATAAAATAGCGATTGTAAATACGGACACCATGAAAGGCAGCAAAAATAGGCTTAGATTAATCATATTCGTGATTCTCATCATTAATCTGCTTGTATGACATTGATCTTTGATATTTATTTTGTTTTTTTATTTTCAACATCTAAATTATTTTATTTACATTCTTCTGTTTTCTTTTTAATTAGCTACCCTCATGTACAAATGAAATAATTTTTTTCCATTCTGGCTAAATTTGAGGTAAATTATTCCTGTACAAAGTCTGCAGTGTTTGTTTTGTACTTTTAAATAAAGCTTTTCTCATGTAACCTCGTTTGATTCAGAAGTCTTGAGAGGAAAAAAAAATCCACTCCATTTATTTCCAATGAGAACAGATTTTGTCGTCAAAACCAACTGTACAGGTAGCTAAAATATCAGTATCTGTTTATAGATCATACTCTGATTCACACAATATACTATACACACACACACCACTTCATCAGCCACAGCCGTAAGGCAGCAATCATTGGCACAAGTCATACGCGCATAACGCTTCCTCTTAACATTCATTTAACAAAGATGACATACATGGCTACATTATAGACAAAACGAGTCAACTTATTTTGTCTATAAAGTGAAGAGAGCAACTCTGAATCACAAAACATAGGTTGTTTCATTTTGAAGTCCACATCTTTGATGAGTGTTTGCAAAATGTGATCAAACGAACTACAGGAGTAGATTTACAAATACATCAACAAACATTTTGAAAACAATTCTCTATCAAGACAAAACAGGGTGTGCTCAGAGACTTTGAAAGACAAGACTTTAAAGACTGTTTAGAAAGTACTGACCAGGACTTACTTTGTGGTAATTTGTAGTAAAAAAAACATTTCAATAGCTTTGTCTGATAATTAACTAAATTACATTTCATGTTGGACCGTTTACAAACAATTTAGGCAAACCGCCTTTGAACGAGAACCAAGCAACATAATTTAACATTAACAAATTAACATGCCCCAGTAACACCTGTGCCATTATACACTTGTCACAGGTTAAAGCTTTAACCAACCAAATAATTCTTGAACACAAACGATTTGCAATTAAAATACACCATGATAGCGGAGACTTGCATTTTTGCATCAGATCTCTCACTCTTTGAAGGCCTGGTGTGAAAATTAATGAACCTCCAAATCAAGTGGGGGCAGAGCTCAGAGTGGCATGATTGATACAAAGGTTTCAAAGAGCAGCAGACAGCAGTTTGAAGTGCGATCTCCAAAGCCAGGGCATCTCTGAGAGCCAGTTCAATTCATCCTGATACCCAGCAGAGGGCTGCTGAGCAAATACTTCAAACGACCAGATGCAAGAATGGCTCCCTAAAGCGTCGGTCTCTGATTCATTCCATCTGAACAGCTCCCTGTGCCTAATGTTTATCCGCCATGCTTCAGAACGGGTCAGAGAAGAGAAGGGGACTCTCCATCACGAGGCTGGATCATCTGCCACTACGGAGGATCAGGAAAGGATGCGCTCCAGGACTATGACGAGGAAAACAAAACAACCCCTGCTTGACGCTCTCTACTTGTCAGGAAACGGTTCAGATCCCTTTATTGAGCTCGCTTTAAAATAAAAAAACAAAAACAAATCATGAACTGATTTGCATGATTAGGGTCCTCATTAAAGTTCTAAAGAGTCAAATTCGTTTTGGATTAAATAAATATATAGATCAGGACAGACGGGGCACTAGAACTCATCATCCGTGTCGATCAGCATCACTTTATCAGATTTCTTCGAACTCTTGGAGGTGCTGGTCCCTGGTTTGCCATTCATGTTGGGCTGCACTACTTCCTGGGTGGACTGCTGTGTGTACTGTTGGTAAGCTGGAGAGAAGTTGTGGATTGCATCCTGAACCATGTCTCCAGGGTTAATGGTCTCCTTCAGGCCACTGGATATGCTGTGCATAGGTGCTACATTCTCTACAAAAACAAAATGAAACAACAGATTAAAGCGTCAAATATCACATGACATATTTCCGATGACATCGGAGACTTTAAATGAGCAAATACGAATGTTTTTGTACTACCAGAACTTGGAAAGGCAAGAAACTTGAGATTGATGTAACCAAAACACAAAGGAAATAAGAGGCAGTTTCACACACAGCCTCATTATTAAAACCCATGACATCATAACTATATAATGGGGTCAACATTTGAGCCCTTGTCTAATGTAAAAGTCTGTACTCCTGCGGGACCTGGCCAGTGCGGGTCAAGTTTTGAATCAGGAGGGAAAATATTCATCTGTGAGCAGAAAGCAAGAGAAAGAAATGACTTGTGGGACTCCCACAAAATACATATAACAACTTCAGCCCTAATCAGACAGGACTAGTTTTCCAGGGCGTCATTAGAGAAATGTGTTTCACGGACATGCATTGCGATTTTAAAGGGTTAGTTCACCCAAAAAGCAAAATTCAGTCATTAATTACTCACCCTCATGTCGTTCCAAACACGCAAGATCTTCGTTCATCTTTGTAACACAAATTAAGATAAATAATTACTAAGAAATCCGAGAGCTTTCCGACCCTGCATAGACAGCAACGCAACCGACACATTCAAGGCCCAGAAAGGTAGCAAGGACATCGTTAAAATAGTCCTTGTGACATCAACAGTTCAACTGTAATGCTATGAAGCTACAAGAATACTTTTAGTGCGCAACAAAAACAAAATAACTTTATTCAACAATTCTTCTCTGCTGTGTCAGTCTTTGCCGCGCTTTCATAAGAGTACAGAGATGCATGCGTGTGGTGCTGTTGATGCAGGAGCCGGCGTTCTGAACCCAGATGCGCTGTGGCTTGTTTGCAAAAAGAGGAATGCACACGCATGCCTTGTGGTACTGTCATGAACGTGCAACGAATTCTGACAGAAGAGAACAAATTGTTGAATAAAGTCATTACTGTTGTTTTCATTGCGCTCAAAAAGTATTCTCGTAGCTTCATAAAATCAAGGTTGAACCCCTGATGTCACATGGACTATTTTAATGATGTCCTTGCTACCTTTCTGAGCCTTGAACGTGTCCGTTATATTGCTGTCTATGGAGGATCAGAAAGCTCTTGGATTTCATCAAAAATATCTGTGTTCAAAGCCGGACAAAGGTCTTATGGCTTTGGAACAACATGAAGGCGAGTTATTAATGACAGAATTTTCATTATTGGGTGAACTATACCTTAAATCCCGACCGAATCTGCCAAGTCTGTGTTTTTCTCACACAACCCCTGTAATAATTCCAGAGCAAATTGCCTACTGTAATTAAACAACTTGCCATTATCCTCACTCTTGTGAGCACATCACCACGGGCACCGCCAAGGTCCAACCCAGCTGTTCGCAGAATAGAAACCAGGATGTGGTTCTTCTGCTTCATTTATCTACTACAGGCCGGAGAGGCCAGGAAAGAGATTCACAATCCCACAGTTCCCAGATTTGTCTCAGCTGTGGATGCATTAAATGAGGTTACAGAGTACAGCCTGATGCACGGCAAAATGATGAGTTCCAGCTAACTGCATCTTGCCTTGTGGCTGATGGATGAGAGCTTGGACAAAGGTGACGGCAGGCTGCCACAAGAGGGGTGCAAGTTTCTGACCTCCGTTCGAGAAATACTTGAACCGTGCTTGTAGGTCTCCAGCTGCCGGCCTGAGAACTGTACGGTGTGTGAATGGATGGATGTTTTGGGACGTTTCGGCCCTCATGGGTGGCGGGTGAAAACTCAGGATGAGAAAACTGTCCTGAACTTCACAGCTGGGCCGCTTGGGGAAAAAAAGGCCATCTTAGAAGGTTGCTCTGCCTAACAGGCTTCACGACAGTCGTGAGCTTTTTTCACCAGTGAAAGGTTATGAAACCAGCAGTGACTTCACCCTTTGAGCTCTGTGTTAAACTATGGAAAATACCACTATGCCTTCATATGCCAGTAAGGTGAAGGGTTCTTAACACATTTGTAGGTTCTCTCACATAGCCATGCCAACAACTGTTAAGCAGCAGTGTGCTCCAATGCGCTTTCTGTGAAAAAAGACTTCATAGAATATTAACATTCGAACTGACACAAGGCTTGAAACATGCATATCTGACTGACAGTCGAGTTATACTTCATGGAGGCCTCTTGAAGTCAGAACACAAATCTAATGCAGCTTTTAACATTCAGCAGCTGAACTGACATTACAGCTTAAACTGGTGGAAATTGAAACAGAACTATTCTTCACCACCTTGAAAAGCACAAGAGGCAGAATATGACTAATGACTAAGCGTGAAGAGGCTTTTGTAGCCCTGAAGATATGATCAGAATGATATACAAGCAGACTGCTTTCTGCACAGCACATACTGCTATTAAAAGGAGTATGTAAAAGGGTATGATATGCAACATTAAACGTTTCAATCAGAATTCTGTCATAGGGCCTGTTTACACCTGGTCACTTATGTGTTTTTAGGGATATCCGATTTGTTAAAATGGTTTAATTTACACTTGGCCACATAAATGTGTCTATGCAAAATAGATAGAAATCCGATCTTCAATTCCTGCACTATGTGCAAATTTAAGTTCATGTCAACGAAAGCAAAAGATATACGCTTTATTTTAGTTTCATTTGCAGCAGTTTGCCCATCGGCTTGCTGAAGAGATACTTAGCTACTCATCTGCGAGGATGCTTGAAGCATTACAGCAGTCATATCTGACTATAACGTCAAATAGCCTATAACACGCTCTTATGCATTTACACTGGTCTTGTTTCGTCTGGAATGCGTCTTAGATCACTTCCTGAAGTGGTTTGAGTGATCGGATTTAAATGCGTCTCAAAACCGAGGGCATTTACACAAGGTCTTTTCACGATGGGATAGCTATCCGATCATGAAGTGACGAGGTGTAAACAGGCAATGACTCGTGTTTGTTCTCAACCTGTATGACTTCATTACAGAAGGGCTTTTACACGTGACGTCATTTACAAGTCCTAACCATCATTTGGAGAATTTTTAGCAAATAACTTACATTTTAGTCGTTTTGTTGCACAAAGCAATTGTATGGTTTGGGAAGACTTAGAATATACTAACCATCATTTGGAGAATTTTTAGCAAATAACTTACATTTTAGTACATTTTTTTTTTTTTTACTGATAATGGTTCCTGTTGCTTCCATTGTATTAGAAAGAGCTGCGAAAACATTCTTCAAAATGTCTCCTTTTATGTTCTGTGAACTAGGGGTGTTGTAATATACAGCAGTTGATGATAACTGTGATACTAATATAAAATCAATATTTCATTTTATTAAATATTACACATACATTAATATTATAAATATTCCAGTGGCATTAACTGGCGGTTTGTCTGGTTGACACTCCAACGCAGTAGGTGGTGTTATTGCACCTCAACACTGGTTGCCACCTAACATTAAATGTCCAAAGAAGGAGTGGTTAACACAAAATCATGTCAGAGGAGGTTACAAACTCTTGTGAGTGCAAATCTCTCAAAATCAAGACTTTTGAATGATTTTAAGTGGGAAAAAAAAAGAAAGAAAACATAAGATGAATTTGACTGATAGCATTATTTTTTTCCTCAAATTTCTACAGATATTATGGCGATATGAATTCTTTAAGCCACGATAATTGTGTAGTGAAAATCTGGTATCATGACACCTATTCTGCGAACAAACAACACGTGGTTAACACAAAATCATGTCAGAGGAGGTTACAAACTCTTGTGAGTGCGAATCTCTCAAAATCAAGTCTTTTGAATGATTTTAAGTGGGAAAAAAAAGAAAGAAAACATAAGATGAATTTGACTGATAGCATTATTTTTTTCCTCAAATTTCTACAGATATTATGGCGATATGAATTCTTTAAGCCACGATAATTGTGTAGTGAAAATCTGATATCATGACACCTATTCTGCGAACAAACAACATAGGGGCGAATGTCAGAATTGTCATTTTTAAGTGAACTATTCCTTGAAATTGTCGTCAATTTGACGTCAAGTTTTGCGCCAAGAAACCACCTGCTGAAGATTTCATTTCCTAATTTTTCAAGTGAAATGGCATCATTCGACCTGCCACAGGTCTGAGTTTCTCAGCACACAGGAGTTATTTTGATGATCTGTGTATAAGAGTAGAGCTTTCCAGCAGTCCTCTGAACTGCGAGTCATTACCCTCCTGAGGAAGAAAACTTCCAGTTGCCTCATAAAAGCTTGCTGTGGCATGTTTCTAAGATCCTCCAAACAACAAGTTAAAAAGTTCTGCTTTGTTTTTCCGAGGTGTCAAATGTATGAGGATCTAACCTGGTGCTTCACTCTTCTTCTCGCGGTACACACTGGAGGTGAAGGCGTAGCGGAGGGCGATGGAGGCGAAGAACATTTCGATGCAGATGATGAAGTTCTGCCAACCAGCTGCCACCGAACCAGCCCCTACTTCATGACCATCAATGACCAGAGCTTTTGGGATCACACCACATCGCTCCAGAATGGCCAATACCATACCTAAATAAAGACAAAATAAAAAAATCTGCAGTGAGAAACTTGACTCCAAGTTCCTGGCTTGTCCACAACAATATTCAAAGAAAACATTTCATGCGTCAATGAACAGCTTGAGATGAATACTGAACATATAACACAATGTAACCAACCTTGCCAGAAGGAGAGGAAGATGACGGATTTGATGGTGAGGAATTTGAGCACAGGCTCAAAAGGTCTCAGAAGGTCACTGGTGGCGAAGTAGAAGAGGAAGAGGGCATAGAGAGCACAACTGACAGAGATGTTGTAGATGATGGTGATATAAAGGTAACCTCCCGTTACACTATATGAAAAGACATGACAGTAAAACAGTTCATTTAAAAAAAAAAAAACAGATGTTATTATGGAATGTTGATATGAGATGAAATGGAATGAATCACAGGATGGCTCACTTAAAATCTCCATCGTGATATTTGCCAAAAGCCTGCAGAAGGATGGTGATGACAGCCATGATGGGCTTCACGACACAGAACTGAAGTGTGGCCTAGATGATGTAACAGAAGCAGATGAGCAACGGTGATGGTTTAGTTTTTACGCCGGTTCCATTTAGTCAACATGGGCCTGTAATATAGTTTGAGTGATAGAGAACTTCCAGTCCTCATCATTTTCAAAGGCATGTTAATGTTGCATGCTTATTTTTGACAGGAAGTGCTTATTTCTTACATAATCAACACAAAGTTTGACATGACTGACAAATCCACTCATTGAGAATGGCACAAAGGAGAATTTCCCCCCAATCTCGCTACATGCGACTGCTTGAAACATCAACGTGCAATTCAAGTTTTAAATCGAAGCGGTCTGTGAGAAAAGCCGTCGCAAAATAATCAAAGCACGCTCCGTCTCTGCTACAGTCTGGTATATCGCAAGGTGATGCTTTGAAGAGTCCTACACGAAGGTGTCTGGTCAGACAGATTTATGTGTTTTGAAATTCTACTTGCTATTAAAAAAAAGTTCAATTCACATTCTTTTCAGTCTTTTTGGGGACGGGGCTTTCAAATCCAATTTCCATCAGTATTATTCTCAAAGTGCGAGCGGGTTCCTCAGCTGCCACGCAGACAGCATCAGGCTGGCGGCAATAGCTATTTTTTGCGTTTATTATCAAGTGACTTGCACCTGCTTCCTACTGTTTTTAATCCTGCTTTAACCACTGGAGCTCCTCGGGAAAGACAATGGTACAAAGATAACAGCTGCCACTTCGTGACAATTCAGGTAGAAAGGGTAGATAAAGGTTGAGGAGACAGAAAGTCACAGAAATTCAGACCCTCTTACTAACGTATTCATGTCATTTACATATGTGACCCTGGACTACAAAACCAATCAAAAGGGTGAATTTCTTGAAACGGAGATGATGTATACATCAACTGAAATCTGAATAAATAATCTTTCCATTGATGTATGGATTGTTAGGATAGGACAATATTTGGCCGAGATACAACTATTTGATAATCTGGAATCTGAGGGTGCAAAAAAAAAAATTTTTTTCGCCTTTAAAGTTGTCCAAATCAAACAGGCCTCTCTCATCTTTTTAAGTGGGAGAACTTGCACAATTGGTGGCTGACTAAATACTTTTTTTCCCCACTGTATAGCCATTTGTACTCAAAACAGAATGGGACATGAGACAATAAAATCCTAAAATGTTCGGCAAACATCTGAATTTCCAGATTTTCAATTTGGTCTCACACTTTTGGACTCCACTGGAAATAAGCTGAATATTTTAGGGTTTTTAAAATGTTTAAACAAAGAAATGTTATGAAAAATGTTGCTGTGAAGGAAAAGTAATTCTGATTTGAAAGAAAAATGGGAACAAACCTGCTTGCAGAATCTCAGGAAGCCAATGGAGTAACTCATTCCTACCAAACAGCATGTCCCATACAGGCAACTAGACCTGTTAAAGGCAAATGAAAAGGAACATTTGAAAGGTGATGCTATTCTTGAGGATAGATGAAATGATCTTTAAAAAAAAAAAAAGTTATTTTGCACAAACTCTTTAGAAACTGAACATTTAGTTTCTTAACCTAGAGGTTAGCATGTATTCTCGAACACATTGAGTCATGGTGGTCATGTGAGTGATGACAACAAAATTCAAAAGATGACGACCATCATTCTTCCAGAGGAGCTTCATGAGAATCGAGTTTAATTATGTCCTGTGCATGTTAATTAACATTTTGCCAGCGTTGTCCAACATGCTGTGTTTATATTCTCCTAAAGCTCTTCACTATGCATTTTGTAGGACTTCCTTCTCCATGCTGGATATACGTGATGCTTTCTTAGAACTTTGCCTAAATGAGTTACAGAGTGGCAGCATAAATATTAAATTGGTAGCATAATTTAATTGTCTACAATTTGGGGCAGCCTTTACATAGGAAACACACTTATCCTGCCTTAAATGTAAAGACACTCACTGAATAAGCTTTCCTCTTATTTCCGACATGATGGCACTTTCTCCTCCAAGGTATTCAAAAGACAGACTCAGGAAGTTGTATATCACAAATGCTAGAATGACAAAAGAAAGAAAAACAGCCAACATAAGCCAATCATACATGAGAGCCTAACACAAACATTTTGCTGAATTTGCAGTGAGTTTTAAATAAGCAGACAGAACAAACGAACAAAAAATAACCTATCCTTTTGTGCAGTAACTCATTCCTACCAAACAGCATGTCCCATACAGGCAACTAGACCTGTTAAAGGCAAATGAAAAGGAACATTTGAAAGGTGATGCTATTCTTGAGGATAGATGAAATGATCTTTAAAAAAAAAAAAAAGTTATTTTGCACAAACTCTTTAGAAACTGAACATTTAGTTTCTTAACCTAGAGGTTAGCATGTATTCTCGAACACATTGAGTCATGGTGGTCATGTGAGTGATGACAACAAAATTCAAAAGATGACGACCATCATTCTTCCAGAGGAGCTTCATGAGAATCGAGTTTAATTATGTCCTGTGCATGTTAATTAACATTTTGCCAGCGTTGTCCAACATGCTGTGTTTATATTCTCCTAAAGCTCTTCACTATGCATTTTGTAGGACTTCCTTCTCCATGCTGGATATACGTGATGCTTTCTTAGAACTTTGCCTAAATGAGTTACAGAGTGGCAGCATAAATATTAAATTGGTAGCATAATTTAATTGTCTACAATTTGGGGCAGCCTTTACATAGGAAACACACTTATCCTGCCTTAAATGTAAAGACACTCACTGAATAAGCTTTCCTCTTATTTCCGACATGATGGCACTTTCTCCTCCAAGGTATTCAAAAGACAGACTCAGGAAGTTGTATATCACAAATGCTAGAATGACAAAAGAAAGAAAAACAGCCAACATAAGCCAATCATACATGAGAGCCTAACACAAACATTTTGCTGAATTTGCAGTGAGTTTTAAATAAGCAGACAGAACAAACAAACAAAAAAAATAACCTGTCCTTTTGTGCAAAAAAAAAAATGGTCAAGATTGAGGAGTTGTTTGTGTCTAGGAAATCCATCTTAACCTGAGAGGTCTATTTAAAGACAGATTAGATGGTTAGATCTCATTGTCTCTCAGTGTACAACTATTACTTGTGGTAAGATTTTACTGATGGTCTCTATGACGAAGACTTAACAACATTGATATCACAATTAGATTACATTACCTCTATTTTATTAAGGGAAATAAAGGTTTTTATTCAGTAAGGATATATCTAATTGATGATCACAGATCATGTGACTGGCAAAAAATTCAGCTTTGCATCACAGGAATAAATTAAAAAATATATGTAAAATAAATTAAATATATTCAAATAGAAAACAGATATTTTAAACCGTGATAATATTTCACAACATTACTGTATTTTTTTTTTTTTATCAAATAAAGGCAGCCTTGGTGAGCATAAGTGCTTTCTTTCAAAAACATAAAAAATATTGCCAACCCCAAACTTTTAAATGGTAGTTTATTACAGACTACAAAATCACTCTAAACTTCATAACACACTCATTTATATAAAACTATTATTCCATACAGTACAAAGATGGATTATGTGAAACAAAACAAATCCCCACACAGGAATTTTCCCATGCAACTTAAACTGTGTTTCAAATCATCATTGTCTAGGAGTAGTGGGATAGGCCTGAAAATATGATAACAGAGACATTTGTCTGTCCTCCTTCCTGGCTGCAACATGACAAACTGGTTTGTTCAGTTACAATGAGCATGTATCCGTTTCCCCTCTATGAAACCTGCCACCCCATGTCTGTAAAGCAGGCTCTCCTCCCTCACTGCAGGCCAGACTTCCAAACAACAGCACATGTCATTCCACCAGTGTGATATTTGGAGTGAATAATATCATGCCTAGGGGGGTAGCAGAGAATGTAAGGGCAGAGAGCAGCTCAGATTTACTGTACCTTCATAACAGTCACGAACGGAGTCGAAATACACATAATACTGGTCATTACTGATGAACAGCAGGCTGAGCCAGGAGTCGAAAGCATAGATGGGGACGATGAAAAGGATGCGGATGATGTAGCGCTGCTCCTTTGGCACAGTGTACGACCTTAGGTGCAGGTATATCTATAAAGAAAGATTTTGTTTAGCAAGATGCTTGACTACAAAATAAATTAAGTCAGACATACATAGCAAAAACAGTCAAATGCAAATGATTAGAGTGTGCAGTGGAGCAATACACATAGCAGACCAAAAGATGGCAAGAACAAGTATCATATTTTTATTATCAGACACTAGTAATGAGGAAAAGTGAGGTGGACAAACAGGAACTTTTAGGCAGTAGTACCAGTGACGTTGAATTACAGTAAACAGGTAACTGTAGAAGTCTATAACGATGTATGGACAGCTAACAGAACAAATCAAACAAAGCTATGTTTAACAGCTATATTCTTCAAAAGAACTATTAACATCACTAGCTGTTAAGACACATTACATGCATTAGCTTCAGCATCGTCATCTTTTTTTAATAGGGGTGCTCCGATTGATTGTCTATAAACGAGCTGCATGCTGCACAGTTGACACAGGAACTGAGACTTGCACAATCGAGGCAGTGTCACATCGTCACTAAAGTTTATAAATTGCATTACTTTTAAATTCTTGCCGGCGTTTAACCATTCAGCGCCAGCGCGCTCTCCTGGAGACTGTGCGCTCATGCACACTCGGAGCACACACACATAATGCCAGGTTCACATTACACCGTTTGCAGTGCGAATGTGGTGCGTATTTTTTCCACGCTCATGTTAACAGATTAATAAAGCGTGCACCATGCACACGGTTGCTGTCCAGCAGTGCGTTCCAGGAGCGGTGCGTCTGCAGCAGTGCAGAGATCGTTTCCGCACCGAGTCTATGTTTACGGCTCTGCAAGCGCTGAATTAAAGTAACGGCACATTTTTTGCAGTAAATATAAACATGGATTGACACGAAAATTTAGTAATTACACTATAAATGCAGATTATTAAAGTCTACTGCGTTTCACAGTCTACACGTATGGCTTTTTGGCTAGGGTTAAAGGGAAAGAGCACTTTTAGATAAACAAGGCAATAATAGATGGCACTCGTGGAGGTAGGAAAACAAAGTTATTTATGAACTGCAGGACTGCTTGTAATAAAGATTTCAATGCAAAAGGAAAGGCAGTAGAGCTGACTATTTCTGTCAATAGTAAGTTTGTAATAACATAAAAGTAGTTTAAATGTTTTTCCACTTGCTTGAGCAACTTAAAGGGGTCCTATTATGCCTTTTCACTTTTTAAATTTTAGTCAGTGTGTATGTTTGGGCATAAAAAAGATCTAGAAAGTTACAAATCTCAAAGTCCACTCCAAAGGGAGATATTTCATTTTTTTAATCCCTTTTCAAGAACTACAACGAACGACTCGTTTGGACTACAGCGTTTGTTTTCCGGGCTTTGTGATATCACAAAGCGGCCCATTAGAATATCATAAATAATTCCCGCCTACAGAAATTCGAATGGTTGGGGGGTGGGGAGGGGCGAGGTTGTGGTTAGAATGCTTGGTTGAGTTAGTTCATCAGAGAAAATGAAGAGCTGCTGTGCTGTAGCTTCAAATTTTCGGCATGTCTAGAACTACACTCATAGAAAATAATGTATTTGAATTTTAAAGACGTGGCGTGACGCGATGCTGCGCTTCTCGTCCAGTGTGCGACCGCCTGAAACGCGGTCGTTTTTTTCACCTCCGTGCCCAAATGTCTTTGTTTGGGCTTCCGAAAGCGGATGATGTCAGGAAACAGTGGTTGCAATTTATTTTTTAACTCCGTCCCTGAGCATTATAACCCCAATTTGCTATTGTGTGCTGCGCATTTTACTGAGGACAGCTTCCACAACATGAGGGAGTACAGTGGCTGCCGGATTCGCCAAAAAGCTTTTGTTGAAAGACGGAGCAAGGGGCGTGGCAGTACTGAAACACCGTCTAAGCTGTTCGCCAATCACAACGCACTGGGACAGCTAACCAATCACAACACATTTTGTTTTTCGGAAGGCGGACCTTCATTAAAGCCGGAACTAATCGAGCCGTTTGTGCCACCCTGGGGAGAAAGGTATTTTAATAAATGTAAATTATTGAAAAATAATGCGTTTTGCGAACCACCAAGCATGAGAGCATGTTCTAGTACACCCCCAAAACAAAATCAAGACTTTGTAAAAGAGCATAATAGGACCCCTTTAATATATAAATCTAGAAGTAAATGCAAAAGTAAAATGCACTGATTAATGTGTTGCTTATATTTACTGCGTTTAAACATGTCTGTGAAAGATTGTATTATTGTACTGTGTAAAAAAAAATTGCAATGCTGAAAAAGCATTTTCAGTGACAATGTTTGGATTTGAAATCAAAATAATGGATAAATGTTGTGTTTGTGGTAAACAGTCACGGATCAGTAGCGGACTCCTGTGTGAAAGCACAGTCCGTGCTGCTTCCCCTCTCACAAGAGTCACCTAAGAGGGGAGTTCCCCCCATTTTCAAAAATTCAATTCAGGCCCTGAATAAATGTCTAAAAATCCTGATTGGAGTACCACTATAAATAGTTATAAATTATAAAAAGAAAGCATTAAAAAGATCGGTATCGGCACATACTGCTTTCTGTGATCGGCAATCGGCCTCAAAAATCCTGATCAGAGCACCCCTATTTTTTAAGGTTCAATACCAACAACCTAATGTGATTTTGGAGTGCTTATGTAGGAATTTGTGCCCATTCATCCACAGCATTTGTGAGGTCAGGCTGTGATGTTGGACAAGAAGGCCTGGCTAGTAAACTCAGTTCCAGTTCATCCCAGGTATTTTTATATAGTTGTGGTCAAGTTTTTCCACACCAAACTCATCCAACCATGTCTTTTTGGACTTTGCTTTGTGCACTGGGGCACAGTCATGCTGGAATAGAAAAGGGCCTTCGTCAAATTGTTCCCACAAAGTTGGAAGCAATGCATTGTCCAAAATGTCTTGGTTTGCTAAAGCATTGATTTCCCTTCACTGGAACCAAGCAGCCCCATACAGTTGGCACAATGCAGTCAAGCAGGTAACATTCTCCTGGCATTGGCCAAACCCAGACTCACCCATCAGAGTGCCAAACAGATTCATCACTCCACAGAACAGGTTTCCACTGCTCCAGAGTCAGCGTGCTTTAGGCTGGTTTCACGTCAGCTTCACGTCAACATAACTACATCGTCACTGCAGCTGCAGACTTGCGAGAGCATTCACGCTGGAAGTGTTTGTACAGCGTCACAGCAGCAGCACCAAAGCTACATATTTCTTTACAAAGACAACTATAAAAGTTCTTGATAGTATTCACATGTAAATGGCACACAACAAAAACAGCTCCGATCATGTCATTTCAGTCATACTTCGATATACAATGTGCTGTTAAATAATGTTTTTTTTTTTTATAAATATAATACACCATACTTTCACTCAAACTGAACAATTAAAAACAAGTTTAAATGGGTAAATCTTCTATACATATTTTTGATTCTTCATTTTCTTCTCTGACAACTCCAATTCTTGTTAAAACACACTAGACATACTTATAACATTTTTTTTGTGTGAAATCATTTATTTTGTCCATCAAAAGTGTGCGGTCACTTTAATTGTGCACCAACAGCACAGAAAAAATAGACTAGGCACCAAAACCATTGCATCAATGCTGCTCATGCGATGCTCCTTCTCCTGGTGTGCCAAACAGATTCATCACTCCACAGAACAGGTTTCCACTGCTCCAGAGTCAGCGTGCTTTAGGCTGGTTTCACGTCAGCTTCACGTCAACATAACTACATCGTCACTGCAGCTGCAGACTTGCGAGAGCATTCACGCTGGAAGTGTTTGTACAGCGTCACAGCAGCAGCACCAAAGCTACATATTTCTTTACAAAGACAACTATAAAAGTTCTTGATAGTATTCACATGTAAATGGCACACAACAAAAAAAGCTCCGATCATGTCATTTCAGTCATACTTCGATATACAATGTGCTGTTAAATAATGTTTTTTTTTTTTATAAATATAATACACCATACTTTCACTCAAACTGAACAATTAAAAACAAGTTTAAATGGGTAAGTCTTCTATACATATTTTTGATTATTCATTTTCTTCTGACAACTCCAATTCTTGTTAAAACACACTAGACATACTTATAACATTTTTTTTGTGTGAAATCATTTATTTTGTCCATCAAAAGTGTGCGGTCACTTTAATTGTGCACCAACAGCACAGAAAAAATAGACTAGGCACCGAAACCATTGCATCAATGCTGCTCATGCGATGCTCCTTCTCCTGGTGTGAATGCTCTCATTTGTTAACATGGACGCCAAAATATGGGTTGCTCATGGTGGCAGTGTGAAACCGGCCTTACACCACTCCATCCGACTCTTGGCATTGTACTTTGTAATGCAAGGCTTGCATGCAGCTATCTAGCCAAAGAAATCCACTCCATGAAGCTCTCAGTTTTTGTGCTGATATTCCAATAATAACACTTACAATTGATTGTGGAATATCTAGCAGGGATGAAATTTCATAAACTGACTTGCAAAGGTGACATCCTATAACAGTACCATGTTTGAATTCAAAGGTATCCTCAAAACGACCCTTTCCCCCCATAAATGTTTGTAAATGCAGACTGCATGGCTAGGTGCTTGATTTTATTCACCTGTGGCAATGGGTCTGAACGAAATACCTGACTGAACTTCTCATTTAAATGTATATAAAAAGGAACAATTTTTTTTCTGAGAGTGTTACCACCAAGTAATATAGTTTAATAGCCTAAATTTAGGCTTTTCAAACTACACAGTAACCAGGCACAGAATGCAACCAATGTGTTTTCACAACTCACATGTGCATATACTGGCTCTATAGTTTTAAAGTTTGGCACTATCGGTATTATAATATACCTTTGAAAACTACTATGGAGTTTGTGAGGCATGTGCATGTCCTTACGGTCCCTTTGAACTTCACAATATTACTGAGGGGGCTCAATATCTGCTGGGTTCTTTAAACTCTTGGACACTCAATCATTTGAAATCAGATTATTTGTGTCCTTCATTCCACGGGTGGAGGCTTGATGTATTTGTGGGCTCTGAAAAAAGCAAGGGGAGTTGCTCTCTGAACTGATGTCCTCCATTTCACCTAGCCTGCAGGGGAAATAAGTTCATAGTCTCCCAGACTCCATAATGTGGAGCTGACAATGAGAGAGAGCCGTGCTCACAATAATGGCTCTGGCCATTGACTGTCTGCTGGCTGTCGCAGAGATGCAGTCAAAGCCAATTACAACCTGTATGAAGCAAAGAGGAACTGCCGGTGGAGCTGTGAGGCGCCCAAAAACAAGGGCCGGTGAATCACAAGGTGTATCACCAACTTTAAGACCGTAAAGCTTGTAAAAATGAGAGAGCTGAGAAAAGCCCGACACAAGAGCGCTGTTGGCGCCTTGTCATTGCAATATATAACAATTCACTTAAGAAGGTTTGGCCCAGAAGGTGCTTATGTTCTAAATAGCTGGTCTTCAAAGACTCCTTTGATATACTTGGCACTGATGGGAGTTTTGCAGGCAAATCAGTAACTTCAGAACAGGGTGTTTTAGGAATGCAATCTCAATTTCTGCCTTTAGTATGCCGCGTGCGAGAAAAGCTCCGCCGGGAGAATCTTTTGTAGCGAAACCGAGAAAGGCAGTGAAATACTAAAACTATCCTGAGGGCTCCTTTAATCTCCTCAGGATTTACATATGTTGCCTCACGCAACCCTCCGCAGGCGGCTGTTTGCGATGCCGTGGATGGCGTTAGATGAGTCGTTCTGCTGCTAGTCTGAGGGACAAAAACCAGACTGTTTTGACCCGATTATGACTTGAAGAGGAAAACCACTACACAGGGACTCATTTCCAGGCTCCATACAGCATCCCGACGTTGTTTGGCCGCTTCAAAACTGTCAGCTTCTCAGAGGTATTGGCTTCTGTATGGCACACAAGACGCTTTGGAGGCAATCAAATCATAGTCCTCCGGGCACACTGTGGGTGCTGCAATTCAGAGCTGAAAAAAAACCTTTCCTGACCTCTGCTCTCCATCAGCACGATCCCAGTAGTTCAATTACATAACAGATGCTTGAGAAACATATTCTATATTAAATTTCTTCATGGGTCATATGGGCTGCAATGAAAAGGGATTCAAAATATACCAGCAAGAGCAGGGAAATTAGATTTCGGCCTTTTCTGAAGCCGAACAATGTGGGCAAATATAATTGGTAATTCGACACACAAGATGGGTATATTCATACTGTGCCGGCACTTCACCTGACAATTACTTTTACACCAAGCTCATCCACCACCAGCCGGTTTCATCTTGCTGTAGGCAACACGGTGAACTCATTCATATGCCACAGAAATGGATATTCAGGTATGATGTGCGCTTTTAGCTGTAATGAACAGCAAAATATAAAGGACAGGGAAATACCCCAGCAAATAAGAACTGTTCAGCATGTATACATCTATAAAGAAGTGGCCAAACCTTTGCAAGAAGACTTATTGAACGGTCTAGACTCTAGTGTCTAAGAAGCTGCCCTTTTCTCTCTCTTTTATTGATACAATAAAGCACAAAATAACTTCTTCTATAAACAAAGGCTGGGCTTACAAATATAGCTCACGCTGTACTTTCTGCTTCAAACCTGTGAGTATAAACTACCAGTCAACAGATTGGACATACCATTTCCACATATTAGAATAATTGCAAAGTCATAAAAACTATGAATATAAAATTGAATATTAAACACGGATGGGAGTATGGGAATTAGTAGTGAGCAAAAAGTTCAATCAAAACATTTTAATTAAAAAAAATTTCGCTCAATCAACTTCATGGTACCCAATTTGCATGCTTTTTAGCATGCAAACAGTTTTGAACCTCACCAATTTACAATAAATAATCTTTATATTTACTGGAATAAAAGTTCAAAAGTTTTGAGTCAGTAAAGATATTTATAATGTTAAGAGAACACACAGTAATATTTTTCACAAAAATATTAAGCAGCATCATTGATAACAGTATATTAAAATAGATAACCATATATTATAGAAACAGACATTTTTAAAGTGTGATGTTTCACAAGCAAAACTGTATATTAACTTTTTTTTTTGAAGGTGGCCTTAGTGAGCATAAGAGCCCCCCCCCCCCAAAAAAACAAAAAAAATATATTTTACCAACCCCAAACTTTTGAATGGTAGTGTAGATTGGCCCAATTGATTTAACACCGATTTCAAGAAAAAACAGTTTTTTTCAGTTGCATCCAAATCTTTTACCGTTAGTGTATGAGAAACTGCCAACGGATTTATTTAAACTACAACGGCAAACATTAACACACCAACAACTACTTCAAATACTGCCAAACACTACACACACACAGAAAAAAAAATGAAACAAGCTTTGTCACAGAGACAATAATTTCCTTAAAAAGCGTTCCCATGGTGCACATTGCAGATGGCATGTCAGAGCACATATATTATTGGCTACATATCCTCTCATTAGATCAACAGAGTACACTAAAGCCATATTGTGTGTTTACACAGCACTCTTATCAGCTCTGGGACCAGGTACCACTCTGCTCTGTAGCTAACTTTGATTGGTCAAGGACGGTAACAGCGCTCTAAATGAATCATTTAGTAGAGCAAAGAAAACATGGATGACGAGTCCAGAACAAACATGCAGGTATTTATTGATCTCTGATGATCGATAACCAGTGGAGGGTTAGTTATTACTGAGTCTTTAATGACTACGTGGTATAGATTAACCTTCTAAATTTACATAGTATTATCAAGATCTGCAGATGATAATGAGCCTGTGATCAGGTACGAGGGAGGGGACAGCATGGTACAGCTCTTGTTTTCTCTGCCTAGGTTATTTGCTTTCATTTCGCTGTGCTCTGAATGAACCGCAGCTATTAGAGCTTCCAGCTTTCCCCAGGCCACAATACCAGTCCATTTAATGCTGAGATTTGTTTCTCACCTTATGGCCTATACTTGCTATACTCCATACTAGTTTATTAAGCAGCAGTGATGCTTTCTGTTGCTAAATAAGAAGCTCTGTGGTCTAGAAATTGTGCTGGATGTGCGAGTGCCTGGCTGTAAAAGGATTACTATGAATTAGTTGTCCTCAAACACATTAGTGACATTTAGTTCCTCGAAATGAGCCTACCTGATGACAGGTGATGATGAGCGCAGACCAAACGAAAATCCCTGACAAGGCTTGGGCCGTGGGGGTGTTGAGGAAGAGCTGGTCATCCCCCACTACTTCAGTCCCATTACTTGATCTGATCATGGTCATGTTAGACATGTCGGTTATGTTAGACAGCATTGAGAATGACGACAAAGGGACTGAATTATCCATCTTTTTATCTGAATCCACTGAGAGAGTGCTGAAATTTGTCGCAGTGGACCCGGACTCATTCATCTGTGGGAAACACATAAAATACATAAAATAAAAAAGAACATTTTTCAAAATCGAATTAAAACCAAATGATAGTCATAGCCTAAATATTTATTATATCTTTCATTTATATCTGTTTATACACTATCGTTCAAATCCTTCAGAATTAATGATCCTTCAGAAATAATTCTACTATGCTGATATGGTGCTCAAGAAACTTAAAAAAAAAAAAAAAAAATGTAATTA